CACAGTAGCTAACACCACACCTTTGCTCTAGCATCCCTTTCCAGTTTTCTTTGGCTCTACTCTTGCCGAGAAGATGATCCTTTTGGCCTTATACATTCCTTCAAAATTCTCTGACCCCTTCCTCACTATTCACCGGTTCCCTCTGAAATGCCCTCCTTTGCCACTTTTCCCTATTGAAATTCATATCATCCAAGGCCTATGCCATTTGTCATCGACTCTTGAGATGTTCTCCAAACCGTCTTTACTGCATTTATTCAATCGATGTTTTTGAACCATTCGGACATGCCAGGCACTGGGGATGCAGTGATGAGCAAAAACCTTGATGCCCATTCTCATGTGACTGAGAGGTCAGTGAGGGAGAAAGACAATGATCACGTTAGCCACACAAATACATGTGTCGTTGCACATTGAGACAGGGCCATAGAGAACAGGAAGAGTTCAGAACAGTTAGAGTGATGGTTGAATGACATGATGGACGTAATTAATGTCACTGAACTGCACCTGTGAGGACGGTGGAAATGGCAGAGGTTTTGTTACCTACATATCGTTGTTGGGTGTTGTCCAGTTGATTTAGCCTCCTAGCGACCCCACATGACAGAGTAGGACTGCCCCATAGTTTTCTGGGCTGTAATCTGTATGGAAGCAGATTGCTAGGTCTTTCTACCATGGTCCAGGGGAATGGGTTCAGATGACCAGCCTTTCAATTGGCGTGCTTAACTGTTGCATCACCAGGGCTCTTTACTTACCTATTTGCCACAATAATAAGAACCAGAATTTGACTGCTCATGACAGCCCAGAGTGTCTTCCTTGAGGGACTGAGCCAAAATCTGAAGGAAGGATGAGAGTAAAGATACCAGTATGTTTTGGGGGAGGGGCCAGCTTTGTGGAAAGGCGCAGAACAGGAGAAGCTTGGTGACGGCGAGTGTGGCAGAAACGTGGGCACAGAGTGTTGGGTCAGGAGGAGGAAGTGTGATGGGGCCGCAGGGGTTGGATGGAGAGGACTTTAGTTAAGGGGAATTTAGGGAAGGGATTTGAGCAGGAAGAGGATGTGATCAGACTTCCTGCCAACTTGGCATTTGTTGGCCCCCCTTCTGGGTGAATATTCTGCCTTATAAATTTGCGCACTTGGTTTCTGGCTCCTGCTTAGACTGAGAGCTACTTGACGAGGGCCCAGATTTTTGCATTCCTCACAGCAGCTAGTGGGTGCTCGGCAATATGTGACACATGACTAAACACCAGATGGCCAGAAGTCTTTAATCCATCATGGTTTACGGAGCCCTCTAGGCCCCTGGGTGTCACAAGTGGTTTGCACTTGACTACTCACCTAAAGGTTGGTGGTTCAAACCCATCCAACGTCACCACGGAAGAAAGGCCTAGTGACCTGCTGCCATAAAGATTGTTGTTTTTGGTTGCTGTCCCATGGCCACCCCATGTGTTACAGAGAACTGCTCCATAGGGTTGGTTTTCTTGGCTGTAATCTACCCTTTGCACCTGACTGCTAACCTGAAGGTTGGTGGTTCGAACTATCCAGTAGTGTCACAGAAGGAAAGGGCCCGGTGATCCCTTAAGATTACAGCCAAGCAAACCCTTTGGAGCCCTTCTACTCTGTAATACATGGGGTCACCATGAGTTGGAATTGACTAGATGACAGCCAGGTTTTTGGTCATCGTGGCCAGCCACTGTGCGAGGCAGTAGAACACAAAGAGTCACGTAGCAGTACCCGTGCCACTTAAGGTGCCAGATGAAGAGTGCAGAAACACTGGCTCAGAGGAGCTGCCTGGATCAGGAGTGGCAGGATGTGAACCCCAGAGTTCCTGAATTCAGCCTCCTGAGGGTGGGGCCCAGATTTGGAGATCATTTCAAGAAATGGATGACAAATGACATGGGAAATGAATGATATGGAGAATCTTAACAGGGAGAAAGGCCAAAGGAGGGCATTTCAGTAGAAGAGTCCTGGTGAATAGTTGGGCATGGAGGATCAGATGTATATGGAATGTGTTGTTGTTGTTATGTGCCGTGGAGTGGGCACTGACTCATAGCAACCCCTCCTTGGGTTTCCGAGGTGGTATCACTATGGCAGTAGATTGTCCAACCTTCCTTCTGAGGAGTGGCTGGTGGGTTTGAACTGCCAGCCTTCTGCTTAGCAGTCAAGTGCCTTCAGCACTACACTACCAGAGCTTCCATAGGGAATGTATGAGGACAAAGAGGTTGTCCGTTTGGCAGAAGTAGAGGAAGAATAGAGCATAGAGGAAGATAACCCTGTGAAAGCCAGGGCATCCCCAGGACGGGTAACAGTGTTGTGAAAAATGCCTTGACCCACTTCTGTGAGAATTGGTGAAGTGCATGGTCCCTGCTACTCTGAAGAGAATATACAATGGTGCCATTTAAACTTCTAAAATCTAGTTTCCTCATCTGTGAAAGAAGTTTCATAGGTTGCCAGGAAAATTGTATGTGAAGGTCCTAAGTAATAAAGATTGTGCAAATATGAGTTATGTGAACACACTTGCACACCCTCCCACATCCTTGAATGCCACTTTCCCCATGACTTCTCGATCCTGCTTAGACATAGAGCAGAAAATAAAATAGACTGATGATCACCAGCTTGTATTGAGCTCTTGCCATGAAATAGATGCTGTGTTAGAGCTTTATAGTCATTCTTCCGTTTCATCCTCAGATCCACCTGTGGAGTGGCAATTGGGCTCCAGATTTGCAGATGAGGAAACCGAGGCTTAATTGCATAACTGAAGGGGGCGAAACCCTACCGATGGGGCCAAAGCCGTGCTTTGTCCCTCAGCAAGCTGGCTACTCAGAAAGCAAGTGGGGGGACTCGCTGCCCCCCTTCCTCCCCTGCCCCTCCGCTGCCCCCATGCACCCCTGCAGAAGTCCTGGCGCTAAATAGCGGATTGTTCTGCTTTGCCCTCCAAGCCTCTGAATGTTGATGTTTTGGGTCATTAAGGGGCTTGGAGATGGGGTGGGGAGCTGTCGACCCCAGGAAAGGCCTGAATGGCCATTGTTCCCTTTCTTCCCTCTCTGAATGGGAGTCTGTCCCTACTCTTGGTGTCTCCCTCTGGGTCGGAGGAGGGGGTGGGTCAGAGGCCGCCAGAGGAGAGCCTTTTCCCACCACTTTGATCGACGGAGTTTAATCCGACAGATGCGGAGATTTCCAGCGGGCTTGGAGCCCCTCTCAGCTTCTCCCACCCTCTCTTGAGCCAGGTGTCTTCAGCCTTCATGTTTATATCCATGAAATGAGCTCTGGTTGGGGATGGGTCTGAATTTGGGTTTTGGGTGGGTCGGAGAGAAAGAGGCAACAGATCCAGGCTTAGTTCCCTTCAGTTCTGCTGGCTCACTTCTGTATACCTAGGAATCAGTCGTTCCTCTGTTTGCCAGTCTCCTGTGTGAACACCTGTAGTTACCTGGCCTCCTCACCGCCCCCAGCGGGACTGTAGAAACTAACACATTCTCACCTTTAGGAGAACTTGCGCTCTTGAAAGACATTCGATAAAATTATTATCATGACCTTTATTATTGTTCATTGTTTTTCACCATGCCCATAAATGTGCTAGAAGCCAGCTCAATTGCCCCCACCTCTGGGAAGCCTTCCAGGGTAGAAGCAGAGCCCTCCCTTCTGTTCTCTATCCTTTCAATGCCCAGGGAGCAAGGACAGAGTGGGGTGGGTGGTGCAATTTAGAGGCGCAAGGGACAAGGGATATGGTATTTATGAACATTCACGAGTCAGAATGGACTTGGTGGCAGTGAGTCTGGTTTTGGTTTGTATGTGTCAGGAGTCCTGGTGGCGCAGTGGTTAAGTGCTTGGCTGTTAACGGTCAACAGTTAAAAGCCATCAGCCACTCTGGTGGAGAAAAAACCTGGCAGTCTGCTTCTGTAAAGATGTACAGTCTTGGAAACCCTTTGGAGCAGTTCTTTGGTGCCCTGTAGCGTTGGTGTTGTGTTGGAATCACTTCTGTGGCACACAGCAACAGCTATGTGTCAATGGCTTTCTATATACCTTAGTGTAAATTACAGGACGCATGCGAGATCCGGTACCTGGCTTATACTGAATGGCTAAGGAGATGCATTTAATTTTCACTAACCCCCATGGAGTAGTAGTTCTGGGTTGGAGCCCACCCAGAGGTACCTGGGAAGAAAGGTCTGGATCGGCTTTGCTAAGGTCATTGGTGCTGTTTGTTATGGTCGTTTGGTGGTGTTGGTTGCTGTTGAGTTGATGCGATTCCGAGTCATGGCGACCCCCGTTGTACAGAGTAGGACTGCTCCATAGGGTTTCAAGGCCATGACCTTTTCCAAGCCGATCACCAGGCCTGCCTTCTGAGGCGCCTCTGGGTGAGTTTGAATGGCCCAGTTTTGGCTGGTAGCCCAGCGCTGAATCATCTTCTCCACCCAGGGCCTCCTCCCATAAAGGTTCTAAAACCACTCTTGAGTCGATTCCAACTCATCACCACCCTATAGGACAGAGGAGAACTGCCTTTTGGGGTCCCAAGGCCGTAAATATTTATGGAAACTGCCATATCTTTCTCCTGTGGAGAAGCTGGGGTTTCAAACCGCCAGCCTCTCCATTGGCAGCTGAGAGCTTTAAGCACTGCATCACCAGGGCCAAGAAAACCCTGCAGAGTACACTTCTGTCTGTGACACATGGGGTCATCACGAGGCAGAACTGACTTGGCTGCAACAGGTCTAGTTTCTTCTTATAAGTGAATAGACTTGGCCACAAATCAAAGTCTCTTGACTCAAAACTGGGATAGGCTCTTTCTCCGGCCTCGTGCTGCCTCCCTCATCCTTCATGTGGACCTGATCTACTCTGCCCTCACTTGACTGTAGGTAGGTTCCTTAGTGGTAGGAACGGGTATCCCTCAAAGTTGAGACTCCAACAGGGAGCATTGTGCCTGACTCACAGTAGGACCCATTTAATGTTTGCCTGTTAATGTAACCCAGCCAAGTGTCATTCCATGCTGTCTCTGACCCTCTACTCTGTCCCACTCTGGCAGGAACCCTCCGACCAGTTCGCCGCAACTACTACGACCCGTCCTCGGCCCCTGGGAAGGGCGTGGTGTGGGAGTGGGAGAACGACAATGGCTCTTGGACGCCTTACGACATGGAAGTGAGCATCACCATCCAGCACGCCTATGAGAAGCAGCACCCCTGGATCGACCTCACCTCCATTGGCTTCAGCTACGTTATTGACTTCAACACCATGGGCCAGATCAACCGGCAGACCCAGCGCCAGCGCCGTGTGCGGCGGCGTCTCGACCTCATCTACCCCATGGTCACTGGCACCTTGCCCAAGGCCCAGTCCTGGCCAGCCAGCCCCGGGTCAGCCGCCTCACCCCCCGCCCCACCTTGCTCCTGCCCACAGTGCATCCTGGTGATGAGTGTGAAGGCGGCCGTGGTCAACGGGAGCACTGGGCCCCTGCAGCCCCCAGCAGCCCGCAAGAACATGGCCCTGTCTGGAGCACTCAAGCTGCCCCCACCACCGGGTCCTGGGGCCAAACCACTGGATGGCACAGGAACCATGCGGGGCCCCGTGAAAACTATCCCATCCCAGGCGGGCCGGCGGCCAGCCTCCAGCACACTGGCGGGGGCGACGGCAGGCTCTCCTGCCAGCCCCCCAGGAGCCAATGGCAAGACCGGAAGGGTGGCCCTGGCGACCTTGAATCGCACCAACCTGCAGCGGCTGGCCATCGCCCAGTCCCGGGTCCTGATCGCCTCTGGGTAGGTGCTGCTAGTCTGCCTCTGAGCATGGCCCCGTTGTGGACTTGTTGTTAGATGCCCCAGTTGATCCCAACTCATGGCAACCCCATGTGTGTAGAACTGCTCCATAGGGTCTTCAAGGCTGTGACCTTTCACAGCAGGTCCCCAGGCCTGTCATCTGACACGTCTGGGTGAGTTTGAACTGCCAGCCTTTCAGTTCATAGTCCAATGCTTAACCATATGTGCCACCCAGAGACTCCACCATGGCAGACACAGGATGTGTCCAGTCTGGGTCCGAGATGAAGGACGGTGGACCAGGATGGATGTAAGCTCTGTCTTGTACACCTCTACTCTGACACACATGAGGTCACCATGAGTTGGAATCAGCTTGATGACAACAGGTCTTGTCCTGACCTCCGGCTGCAGCTGGAAGAAGGCGATATGCTATGGTAGAAGAAGAAGGGTCTGGCTCCTGGGGTCCAACCCAAAACCATTTGCCATAGAGTTGGTTTCGACTCATGGCAACCCTATGTGTGTCAGATTGCAACTGAGCTCATAGGGTGTTCGTTGACTGATTTTTCAGAGGTAGATCAGCAAGTCTTTTTTCTGAGGCACCTGGATGGACTCAAACTACCAACCTTTCAGTTAGTAGCTCAGTTCACTAAGTAGCTAGGTTCCTCTGCTCCACGCAAGGACTCTGGGGTCCAACCTGGCCTGAGTTCTAATTGAGACTTTGCCTCTTACTGTTGTTGTTGTTGTTATGTGCCGTCGAGTCGGCCCCGACTCATAGCGACTCC